ACACCCCCCCCCCCCCCCTCCCCCCTCCAAGCTTTCTGTTTGATAATTTTACACAGTACCTTAATATTCAGCCCAATGATGATTGGTCAATAAAGAAATGATCACTATTCTTGCATTGGGATTTAAGGTGCGTTTAGCAAGGCATTGATTGTGTAGTTGCTGAATATTGTTAACTGTCTCCTTGGTGTCAAAGACGAGTATTGACTCTATTTTTTGAGGGTTGTGTTAGAAAGAGTTCTTTAAACCAGTCTGTCTCTGTGAGAATTAGCCCTTGTTTGAGCCCCATTTTTGGAAAAAAATACATTTTTCAACAGTGTTTTGACATCATTTCAACTTCACATTTTTCAATAAAATAATGTTAGACGCAAATCCAAAATTGTTCCTTATTTTTAACCACACATTTTCCATCAATATACTAATCAAAAATGCATTTTTTCTATTAAAATGGGGCTCAAACAAGGGCTTAGCAAGATAATGGCACCTGTATTTCTATGACTATTGCATATTTGACTAGTAGCAAGGTGAACAGCTTTCTCCTGTTGTTTAAATACTATTTCTGTCTTTGTGGCAGGGTGATAGCAGATGGTCATATTCCATGGGCATGCGAGGCGTTTTCTAACTTGCATGGACGGGATCTTGTTAGGGCGCCAGCATTGCTATGGTAACGTCTTTATTATCCAGATTCTTGCATTAGAATTGTGCTGCTATCCCATGCCATACGTAGTTTTCTTGCAACATAATTCAAAATGAGTTTTGAGTTTTGGTAAAAATAAAAAGAAGAATTTTACTCGTGGACTTTATTTGCGTATATTCAGTTTTGGCGCTACTGTTAATTTTTCCTTTTTATTCATTAGAAATTTTAGAGAATGAAAGAAGAGACCTTATGGTCGCTATCAGTTTATTTATTTTTCTGTTGGAACTTCTTGTTTGAATAATCTCTATGCTGGGGCTAAGAGACACTTCTTTTTGTTATTTTTTGTCGAGAAGAGGTCCTATTTCATTGTGTTCTCATGTTCTCCGTAGGTGTTGGAGATTACACATGATCAAACTATGGAATCATGGTCTCCTTGATGCGCGCACCATGAACAGTTGTAATACCATACTTGAGCAGTTCGAAAACCGAGATGTGGATCCTTGAGAAGTTAGAGCACGATCGCAAGTCTTTTGCTGTAGAAACAGTTGATTATCAAAATCATCGTGTAGTTGTCGGATCCGAGGCGAATGCTAGGTCCGCAGTTTAAATATATCATTTGTTGTTTGTCCCCATTTGGGATAATTCTGTTTTTAGTTTTTGGTTGAATCTCATTTAGAATTCTTGAATATATTTGAAAAGAAGTATTCCCTATTCTGATAGGATTCTCTCTATTTTTGATTGGTGTAATTTACCGTATGGCAAGTTTCATGGGAAGTCTATGTGCTGTGTCAATATTTTTCTTGATTCTAGTAGAATGCACTAAATTCTGCAATTCGTTAGTACTCTCTGTTCCTTAAAGATATGTTTGGATTTTTATTTTTTTATTTTTAATGTCAGTTCCAAGTTATAGATTACTTTCTTTATTAGAAGTATAGATATTTTTTAGTTTTTCAGTACATCCTTATTTATTGTACCTTGTTATTAATAAATATAAATTAGTCTTATTTAAACCATTATTTAATGTAGGAGTATATTAGGAAAAATGCAAGAAAATTTTATATTTTTAATTGTATTAATTATATTTTCTTAATTTGCGTGAAAATAGAAGCGAGATTTGTATTATATTATTATAAAAATAAAAAATGAATTTTAAAATATTAATGATATAATCATAACAATAATTATGAAAAATGATATTATTAGTAACTGTCAATGGGGGCAAAGCAATATAACACATATATCAACTTGAAACAAAAGATTAACAAATACTTTATCTAAAATCACAGCAGCCCTCCAAGTTTTTTTCATCAAAATTGAAGTTGTTTCTTTCTCAAAACCGACTAATCAAATAAACACTAAATCGTTATTATGTAACCAATTTGAAATATAATTGTTCATAAAATAATCCTTAACTCATGTATCCTTTAATAATTATAATTATATTTGTAATGACTTCTTATCTCTTTTATTGTTTCGCAAAGACAACCTGCCAATAGCGTCCCCCCTCACAATGCATGCGGGTCTCGCATGAATTTAAAAATGTTGACATGTGGTCCCTACTCTTGTTGTGAGTAGTAGGTAAAATATTCGATAAAAATATTCAGTACGTGTAACATTGTCGATTAGATAAAAGTCCTTTTAGTTTGTAAATCAATGTTCCTATTCATGAAGGTCATTAAAAAAGGTATATTTGCTCCCATGTTGAACCCTTGCCACATCAATGTGCAATGATGAACGTAAACTGAGTTACACCAGAAGATAAAAAACTCTATGTATTATAAATTTTATTTATTTCAATTTCATGATTTTGTATCAAACTGCAGAACTATTAATTATTTTGAACGCATTAATCTTTAGCGGAGCTAGAATTTCACAACTAGACCAAAAAAATGATGAACGGACAAAATATTAAATTTTTTTAATCAAAATTTTTACATATATTTAAGAAATATATGGATGTACGAGCTAATAGCGGCCCAAAACCCAAAAATTAGGGTCATTGGATTATTGTTCTGCTGCATGTAATCACAGCTTATATATTAGTTTACCAACAAATGATTTGATGAGATTTGATTGTGTTAAAATCTCATCAACCAAATTAAATTAAAAAAGAAAATTCACTCACTTTCTTTTTGCTGCCTTTAAATATGAAAAAGATTATGTAAAGAGTAATGCTATTTGCAGTTATTTACTGTCGTAGTCGTCCTATATGACATATATGTGACGGTTAGTGATTTGATATATTAATTTGGTAGTTTTTTATTATTTATGCAACATATCATTAACCGTCACATGTATATCACGTATGATGACTGCGATAGTGAGTAACTACAAATAACATTATTCTTATGTAAATGTTGATCTACAACAAGTATTTTCCTAGACATTTTATTGGATACATTTCAAAGCTGGCTTTCAACAAATGGATTAGGTTATATAAGTTTTTTCCTCCAATGAACAAAATGGCAATTTTTCCCGTTGCAGATCACGTTGGTAAAATTGTGAAAACATGACTACGTTAAAACAATAAAATATGGGAATTTATGTAAGATAGGTCAAACAAAAAGATTTTACAAAAGTAACTTGGGGACAGAGAAATATAAGAATTTATAACCTCAACAAAACCAATCTTTAAAAAGTATGATTGCGTTTGGTTTGCTTTTTGAGTTCATTTTCAGCTTTCGATTTTCTAAAACGTTCAAAACGTGTTTGTTATGTTATTTTCAAAATTATATTTTCGAAAATAGGGAAAAATTTTACAACATAAATCTTAAAATGAAAACACTCAAAAAAGTTCAAAACAAGGAAAATGAATTTAAAAATTTCTCAATTTAAAATAATTAATAAAATCACACAAAACCTCTCTCTCATCCCAAGCTCCTTCAAAATGTTATAAAACTATTTCAAACCAAATGCATTTTCCAATTATTTATTTTATTTTAAAAAACAATTTTTCAAAATGACAAACTAAACGCCTATTCTGCAAATTGAAAATTGAAAATGAATTCAAAATAGGAAACAAATACGCAAACCAAATGCACCTAACTATTTGTCTCAAGGGGGAGGGGGCTAATCTTGTTGTTCCTAGAGTTTAACGTAACTCTTTCGAAACCAATCCGACAGTAAAGAATTGATCAACAGGATCCAAAAAGTAATTCGAGCCCACCGACTTCACGATGTTTCCTTTAAACGAATTTGCTGTCTTCAATGGTCCTAAAGGCGTCCAGCAATCGTTTTTCAGGATAGAACGAATTTTCGTCTCCTACGGAAGCAGCACTGCAATCTGCAAGAGTTTCAATGAACTCAACGAAGTGTGTTTTACTTCGAGACAATATCAGAACGAGAGAGAGGGGAATGAGATTCAAAGCACAGAAAGTTTGCAATGAAAATGGTGTGAATTTTCTGGTAGAGAGGCTGGCTATTTATAGACTTGTTCGTGGCCATTTGAACAGTCATTACCTTTCAGACAAACCTCAAAATTTGAACAGACGTGCTGTTTTTAAAAGTCGCGTCTGTTAAGTCAGTTAACAGTCGGCTAACAATCGACTGTTTGGTCGATAAACAGACGACTGCTAAAAAAAATAAAACACCCGGAATAAGCCAAAATTTAAATTTCATAAAGTACCCAAGAATTTGATTATTTACAATTTGGCCTAAAATTTTAAATAAATTTTGTCCAAAAAGTTAATATAGTGTAAAGGTCCACCCGCACCCGCACCGAACCGGACCGGACACGGGCACAGGCACAGGCACGTGTTCGTGTCGAGCCGAGTCGACTGGCCGGCCGATCGGACGGACGGCAGCGGCGGCGCGCGCATGGGTTTATGACCGAACCCAATAGGATATAGGTCTTCCCCCTTCCAAAGACTATTGGTAACCCTTGGGGCCCAAACCCAATTTCAAACTTCCACCTTATAAACCACACCAAAGTTTCCTAACTTTCCTATGTGGGATAAGTGTTTGGAAAATCAAATTCTTCCATAATACTTAGTTTATGTGGATTACTTTAACACTTAATATTTCATTCAATTTTAAATGGTTTTCGATAAAAAAAATATATCACGTTAATCATCTCGCGGAGTAGAACGTGAATATGCTAGGTCCCGTATTAATTAAAAATTGGGTCCCACTAAAATTTAGACTCAAAGTTGACCCATTTCATAACCATTTTTTTTTAACAATCCTCCACATGAATGAAATATGTTGGCCTTATTCCAAACGATAACATCTGATATGTTTTTCAAAGAAAAAATTGAAGAAGACTACATTGGGATAAGTAGTCAACGACTTTGAACTTTCCTTAGTAAAATCTATCGAATTTCTTTAGCCAATCAGTAGCAAGTTGCTTTGAACAGTCAGCCGTTTATGAAAACCTAAACAATAGAAGTCACACAGTTGGTTCTCACGTTTGTGTCCATTTTGGTTTGAGACACCTCCTGGTTCATGAGTAGTTTTTAGAGAATTCATCTTCACCTAATTCTCTTAGAAGCGGCCCCTTCTCACTCACATAGGTGATTTCCATAAAGAGTATTCTGCTATACTCCACTTGAACGAATCAAGATTTAGAAATCATTAAAAGCGTATCTTAACCTATTTCGCGGCAGCTTGGCACTGGCTCATCATAGGAATGGGTAGAAGTAAAATCTTCCCAGTGCATACTAAGTTTTTCACAGCTCGGTTGTCCCATTGAACCTAGATCTTGGGATCTCCAGTCAACTAGGTTAGGTTGCCACCATGGAAATTTTTGATTATTTTATTAGTTTTAATCCATCCCCTTCGATAAACTTTCGACTTGCTCTCTTGTTAAACTTTTAGTTAGCGGATCCGCAATATTCTCTTTTGATTTTACATACTCTATAGAGATAATGCCTGTAGAGATCAATTGTCTAACAGTAATGTGTCTACGACGTATATGTCGAGATTTACCGTTGTACATTGCATTTTGTGCCATACCAATTGCTGATTGACTATCGTAATGGATACATATAGCAGACACAGGTTTTGTCCAACATGGAATATCTTCTAGAAAGTTTCGTAGCCATTCGGCTTCTTCTCCGGCTTTGTCTAATGCAATGAATTCAGATTCCATTGTTGATCTAGCTATACATGTCTATTTTGAAGATTTCCATGATATTGCAGCGCCTCCAAGTGTAAAGACATATTCACTTGTTGATTTGGAGTCTTTAGTATCTGATATCCAATTTGCATCACAGTATCTTTCAAGTACTGTTGGATATCTCGAATAGTGCAATCCAAAATTTTGGGTATGTTTTAAATACCCTAAAACTCTAACAATAGCCTTCTAATGATCAGTGCTTGGATTACTTGTATATCGACTTAGCCTACTAATTGAATAGGCAATATCAGGTCGAGTACAATTCATGACATACATTAAACTGCCAATAATACGAGAGTATTCCAATTGAGTCTTACTATCACCAGTATTGGAAACAAGATGCATACTAACATCCATAGGTGTTTTCATAGGAATAATATTATATTTCTTGAATTTATCAAAAATCTTCTCAATGTAGTGTGATTGAGACAATATGAGACCATCATATGTTCTAGAAATTTTAATTCCTAATATAACATCGGCCACACCTAAATTCTTCATTTCAAATTTACTTGTTAGCATCATTTTTGTAGTTTGAATTATGGTATCATTGTTACGCATAATCAACGTGTCATCTACATATAAACATACCATGACATATCCATTTGGAGTGTTCTTGACATAAACACATTTATCACACTCGTTAATTTTGAAACCATTTGACATTATAACCATGTCAAATTTTTCATGCCATTTCTTAGAAGCTTGCTTTAATCCATATATTGATTTAACAAGTCGATAC